CTTTCCCCCAAAATAAGGTGACCCTGACGAGCTACACTGTCCTTTCTTAACGAGCTTGTTGCGAGGTCGGCTGTCACACTGCTCCCGACGCCGTTCAGTGGTTAGTAGGTCACGCTCCAATTGTTGATTATCTAAATTAACGCTTGTAGAAAATCGTTCTGCCGCAAGAGATAACTCCGTGTTCGGAATACGACCAAAAAGTAGTTCAAAAGGTGAGACCCCAGTTACAGAGTTCTTAGTCACCGAATATCCTCAACAATATGCTTAAGCGTATCTTGTTTATTAGAAAAATCTGGACTCAAGCGAGAAGCCCACAAACGACGCTTAATGGTTTGGATGGAACGTTCCATCAGACCACAACCACGATAGTCACCGACCGGGCAAAAATATTGGGCAATTTTTTTTATCTTTACAAAAGGACTGAACTAATTTGTTTTTAAAACCTGAATACTGGTCAGTCTTGATTGACTTTGGGGTACTATGTTATTGATTATACGATTTTAGAAACTTGATTATCTTCCTACCCCCCGTAGAACGTGTAATCGTAGCTGACGGATATTCACAATACCGGTCGATCGCGACCAAGATATAAATACTGTTACCATCAGAATCGAGGAGAGGATCCGCATAGTCGTGCTGAAGCTCCTCATTAGGACCAGATAGAAGGGGGAAAGGTTTAGTCGAGTTAAGCGAAGCGTTAGCTTTAATATTCTTACCAATTTTAGTGAATTGAGGACAATCTTTGCACAGTTGAACAATATCACGATGCATACGAGGCCACCAAATATATTGGGCTGCATCCACCATGGCAAGCTGACCCGCATGCGACCTGTGATCGCGGGCAAGGAGAGGTTTTCGTAAACAAGTGGGGATAGCAATCCGGTTATCCACTACAACACAGCCATCGACTACCGCTGCACAATGCCAAAAGGATTTTAAGTAAGCGTCTGTTCGACAAAAGCCTTCATAGTCGCGACTAATCAAGGCTCGTTTCATCAACCGAAGACTAGGTTCTTCATCAGTAAATTTCAATAGCGCGTCGGAATCCGGAATACCCACCCGCCCGATAACGACTTCTGATCCGGGGCGACAATTGAAGACTTAAGAATCTCCATGCTATGAACTGATTGCACAGCACGACCCACTGGTCCAATCTTTCGTAGCCTCCTCGAACGGAAGTTTGTCAGAATCCGGGCATACTGGCCCTTCAATGCCACCGCACGCTGCGATGAAGTCGGACGTCTTGGGCGAACTGCCCCCGCGCGAAACCGCGGCCGGGCACGATCAGAGGAGAACCATTGCTGGTTTACAGGAATAAATTGAATTAGCAACTGCTCGAAACTATCATTTGCATTAGTATCCATCACAACAGTCTGAAAAAGAAAGGGGCCGAATAATACGAAGATACACAAGGAAATCCAAAAGTAGATATTAATCCCGAAGATATCAATGAAATCAGGAAATTTTCCACGATCGAGAATTACCGTACTAAATAAACAAACGAAAATCCAGATTGGCAGATAGTTTGGAACACATGCTTTGAAAGTGAGAGTTAATGAATTAAACCAGCTCAAAGCTGATTTGACAGAATTTTGAAAACTAATTCTGACGCCCTCTAGCGGAGAAGTAACAAACGAATTGAACTGATTAAATAATTCGTTATAACCAAAGGCGAAAAAACAACCGACCTCTAGCGGTTTCAGTCTTTGAGACGAATCTCAAATTTCCAAATTATTGAAGCCCTTAGCCGACTGAATGTCATTAGACAAGATTAACTTCGATGCTGAATCCAATAAAGTATCCTGGACTGGACAAAAAGCCCGAGACCGGCAATGATTAACCAACTCGATTGAATTTATTGAAGATGGTAGCACTTTTGCCGGGTTGTCCCCCGACGTAGCGAATAATTTCAACGGACAAAACCTCTGATGATGAACAGTCCCGAACCCAACAATCCAAAAAAATACAAGCATCGAAAAATCGGCTAATAAACTTAACCACATATTGCTCGTCAAAATTACTCGGACGCGGTGCCTCAAAAGTTGGAAAACGTGATAAATAATCCACTGTTCCCAGTTTACAACCAGAAATATGAAAAATATCGAAGTCAAAAGGCAAAAACCTATCGGTCCATCTGGTCAAGCGTGATTGATGAGTCTTGTTACCCCTATTAGTCTTAAGAGCCGAGGTAATCGCTTTATGATCTGTTAGTACCACAAAATGATTACCCAATAGATAACTGCAGAAATGCTCACATGACCAGACAATAGCGAGAAGCTCCAACTGGTTTGTACTATACTTCTTTTCATGGTCATTCAGGAAACGCGAAGCAAATGCAAAAGGGGATCTAAACGTTCAATTCTACTTCTTGCTCTAATGCCGCTTCCAGACCACTATGACTGGCATCGCATTTTACTCGAGTTTTCCGATTTTGGTCATAATGGAATATCTTTGTGATATTCGCGATCAATTGGAGAATATTCACAAAAGCCGATTGTTAATCCTCTCCCCACAAAAACTTGCTTTTGTTATTCGCTTTCAGCGATGGAGGGAGTTGGTCCGAAAAGACCTGAAGAATTGGCAAAAATCGTTGTAAATGGTTGAGAATGCCTATAAAAGACAGAAGTTGTTTTAACAACTTAGGGGGTTCAAGAGCTAATACAGCATCGATTTTAGAACGTTTTGGCTTATAGCCTTCTGAGTCAATATCATAACCCAACCAAGACAGCTGATTCAACGAGAATTCGATATTTTAAGGGCGAAACCCTCCTCATCCAAACTGGCAAATACTTTCTCCACAAGATCATTGTGATGCACTACTGATCCTTTCGAAACTATGAGGATATCATCCAAGAAACAGAAAACTCCCGATAAACCTTGAAGAGTATTTTTCATCGCTTTTTAGCACTCTTTAGGCATATCCGTAAGCCCAAAAAAAACCAGTCTTAAACCGATACGTGCCAGTTTGTTCCACACAAACTATTTTAAAGTTACACTGACTACTATCTCCTTCACTAAGCGGAATCTGACTAAAGGCATAATTCAAATCCAACGAAGTGAATCAAACATCGCCAACTTTGTCTGACGTGATGATCTGGGCTGCTGAGTCCAACAATTCCAATAAATTTGGCATCTGATATTGGTTTTCAGGTATCTGATCATTCATGGGCTGTGCATCCATAGCCAATTTAACTGAACCATCCCTCTTTGCCGTAATTACTATCGGAGATATGAAATGATCGCTTGTACATTTGTTGAGTTTAACATTGTGGCCTTCTTGAATCAGTTTCCGAATTTTATTACCAACTTTATCTTGAATATGTACTGGAACCTGCCTTCCTTTTTCTTGAATCGGAATTAGCGGTGACTTGAAAGTAGAGAAAACTTGATGATTTTCGGCTCTGCCATTACGAGAAAAAATATGTTGATACTTCTGTTGGTAACAAAATTTCTAAGACTCCGACGTCTCATTCGTGTTTGACTGGGATACTTCGCCCACCAAAGGCCTATCTGGTCTAACTTGCGTAGTTCTCACCTCCAACTGAGATTGCAGATCTAACCCTAATAAACAACGCGTACAATTTTCCGAAATGAGGAATTTTGCAGACTTCACATGCCATCCCAATGATGATACATCTACTATCAATGTGCCCATCAGTTCAATTCTTTTCCTGTTATAGACCACATTTACCGTGTCTATTGGACATTCCTTCTCACTAAGAACCTTTGCTGAAGGCACTGACTTCGCGATGTAATCTGCTGTCTTCTTATTTACAAAGGAAGCGAGACTTCCCGTATCGACTGTAGCTTTGAAAAACGTTTTGCCGCAACGAAGTGTTATCTGAATACAACGTAATTTACCCGTAGCAGCGTTAACCACTTCCAATTTCTTCACAGACTCAACAGAATTTCTCGTCTCTTCTACCTCTACGGACAGGACTGCAAATTTTGATTCACTGTCAGACGTGATGAAGTTACAATTTTCCTCAGTAGTTTCATCCGATTCGACTTCTACATTCGCTGCATGTTTAGAATTGCAACATTTTGCGAAATGTCCCTTCTTACTGCAATTCCGACAAGTTACATTTCTAGCTGGACAACTTTGTTTATGATTTGCAGAAAACCTGTTTCCACAAAAGTAACTTGATTTCGCTTTCTCCATGTTAGCATTTCCTTTCGCTTTATTATTTTGGGCTCGATTGATTCGATCCGACATTCTCTTCCCTTGCACAGAAAACGTCGGTTCCTGTTTGATACGTGTACTTTAAGCCAAATTGAATCCTGGATGGGAAAAAACTGACCGTCGCTGACGGACCCCCGAATTTTTTTTGTAGATTAGTAGCAGTTTGTGCTCCTTTTTCCTGCAATGACGCTGACTTTAACGTTTCTTCAGGAGTGGTCCCCGGACGAATACAGAGTTCTCTTTGAATATCTTTATGCCACATTTTTTCAATAAAGATATCTCTCACGACTTCTTTTTCCTGATCAATCGTCCAACCACACAGGACTGCTTGACTCGTAAGACGCAAATAGAAAACTTCCAAACTTTCTCGTTCAGCATGCACGGCATTATAAATTTGCAGACGTTCGATAATGTAGTTTTTCTCCTTTCTGAAGAGAAGAACACAAAATTCGTGAAATTCTTGAAACGATATTGCACTGAGGTCCGCATGCTGATAACTTTGAAGAAATTGTTTCTTTCCTTCTGAGCTCAGAGAAAAGAATAGACGAGATTTAACTCTCTGTTCGACTTCATAAAAATACACACCTGGTGCTACTCCGGGGCTTTTAGCCCTGCGTTTCTCATTCATTTCAGCCACTCTACGGGCAGCTGCATCATTCCTTGCAATACGATTTGCTATTGCCGCTACGTCTTCATCGATTCCCACAGCCTCTAGTTTTGGACCAGGATCATCGTGTACAATACCTGGCGGTTTTAGTAGTTCACGAGAATCACAACCTTTCCCTTAGGGTGATCGCCAAATTGAATTGTCCTATCCATGAATCCCAACTACTGGGTGGATCGGCTGTTGGCTTGTGCCAGAAAACTGGAACACCCAACAGGTCAGTCCGGTCGCCTGATACCGGAACTGCTGGCTGCGCCAACTGATAACTTAAGAAACAAAAAGTGCTAATCAAGACTTAATTCATCTTGTCAAATAAATAATAAGTAAGTTGCACATAATGTCATGACAATAAATTGTGACTACTTAAATCTTTCATAAGTTGACTAAAGAGTGAAAGAATAAGCTTGTTTAAAATTAGACCGAGGATTGACAGGTCGATAACGAACTTGAGAACCAACAGTAGATTAACGGCCTAGAAAAGAATGATGTCATAGAACAACACATTTAAACAGCACCGCACCACACAGATGATCATCCCTTTGCTGACTCTAGTTTTGAGTAAACCATGGTTCTAGTCACTTGTGTTCGGTCACGAACACATCGCTAAAATTTTGAAAAATGAAGTTTCAAAAAAAATTGCTTGTCTTACAATTTCCATATATAAAAAAGCGTGTCTTAGAGTTTTCTTAACATTTTCTGTATCTATGGAATTGTACGAAATTGTACGATAAGCATTTTTTCATAAATGAAAATTGTATGATAAGCCTTTTTGGTCAACCCGGTTGCAGAAATCAACAAAATAAGACCAACAATTGGGTTATTTAAAATAGGGTTAACTTAATTACTTGTCAGCATGAGAATAACATACAACTATAATATCTACTAGTCTTCATATCTGCAGGCTGCAAAACTCGCTGCAAACTGTCGAGCACTTAATACAGTTCGATTGCAAGACATGTGAGGCAAAAGCATAACAAAGGAAATTGATCAAATTATCAAATTTGATTTTTAAATCGTGAATAGAACTACGAAGCAAATTCATCTAGTTGCCCTATTGACCAAAAATGCTAGTCACACAATTTTCATATTGGAAAAAATGCTGGTCCTACACTTTTCATGTAATTCCATAAATACAGAAAACTTCATGAAAGGTCTATGATTAGTGACTTTTCATATATGGAAACTGTATGAACATTTTTTCCCATAAAGCAAAAAAAAAACAATTTTTAATTTAATTTCTCAAAATTTTTGTGATGTGTTTGTGATCAAGGCATACCTAAAAATGCCATGCAAAAGAAAGAGGGGGTCTTAGCGAGTTTGAAAAAAAAAACGTTATCCAGAGAGAAGGAACAAATCCCATTATTGTGAGTCAAGGAATTTGTTATTTGCACAAAAAAATAAATAATTTGAGTACAAAATTCGATTTGCGGTAGAAAAAAAATTTATGGGGTAATTTCAAAATTACTTGTAAAAAAAAGTTTGTTGTCGCATTCAAGAAAATTCTAGCCATAAAATTTTCATAAACGGATAGCCTATAACTTTCATATCCTTTTTTTAACAAAAAGTTTTGTATTTTAATTTAGTAAAATACACCGTTTTTTTTCTGCCAAAATAAGAAAAAAGTTTTTTTTTTAAAGTTCAATGACATCATTTTAGCAAAATGTATGAAGTTTTCATGAATATTATTTTTCATTGATTTAGTTTATGGAATTGAATTATTAGCATTTTCGCTCTATGAAGGTCAACCCATGTGCAGACAATTTGGTGTCACTGTTTTTGTTTTCAGGCTAAATTGAAAACAATGAAAAATAAATTTGCTGTTTTGCCGCCATTAAAACGACGCAAATGTTCTATTTTGAAATTTTTTTCATAAAAATAATGACCTTGAAACTTCTGACTGCCCTTGAAGCCGAAATAAAAGTTTTTGCTCAAAAATTTGAGAAATCGAATACAATTTTGATTAGAATTTAAAACAAATTTTGCAGTTTTTCCATCCATCATTCTATGCGCTATATTAAAAC